TTAGGTAACTACTGCTAAACAATACTCGGACTTGAAATTGAGGATCCTAAACAACACTCCTTTGATCCTTTCTGACCGGAGGGAATACGTTGTTGAATGGCTTACATGTTAGTACATGTTTCTACAAGCTATAGTTCAAAATTTATGTTCTGTTGTAGCCACCCAACACTATTGTTGATAGGCGATTGCCAGAATTTCAATACTGCATAAAATCCTCATCTTAATGCCATTTTGTCACTTGTCTTTGTTGATTGGACTTTTGGCTGGTCTTAACAGTGTCGTGTTTGGCAGGCTATGGCCTTTTCTGGGAATGAAAACCAGTTCTCTGAAACACTTGGGATGTTATTAAAGCTGCTACCAGATGTTCGTTCACTGATTACAATGCAGGTGCTCGTGCTTAATGGGATATCCTCATCGATGATGCTGTATTGTAAAATTTGTTGTGTATATAACTATATGTGCATACAGCTTCACAATTCTATTGGAAATAAATGGCTTCTACATGCATATATTTTACCTTCATGTCTATGGAACTTTAGTTTGGAGTACATTTCTGAACAGCGAAAAAACAAAGCGTAGAACGCTACTAAGCTGCTTCCTCTTCAGCAGCCTTTCCTTTTACATCTCCATGATTGGAATTCGCATAAATTTCCCAAAGACATGGCTAAACAAATTCAGGGATTTATCTGTATTTTGTGAAGAGAAGTAGAGAACCATCTCTCAATCATATATTTTTGCACTTTCCATTTATTTGCCAACTGGTAGGCTATTATGACAATTTTTGTTACAGTATTTATTTTGACAAATCTGTCTATTAAAAGGATCTTAACAAGCAGTATTAATAGATTAGGAGAAAATTCATGTATCTCAAGTTCTCAACATGAGATACATATCATGTATCTCAAAGGGTATATTTGTCATTTTATGATTATAATAATCCAACCTTTACGCGGTCCGATTCTATTATTAATCCGACCTTTCGTATCTCATATTAAATTTGATTATAATAATTCAACCTTTTCGCGGTCCAAATCTAATAATCCGACCTATTTGCCGTTTTGAAATGCAATTCTTGTATCTCATATTTAGATACTACGGCTTCCTTATAGATTAGTCGGTTAAAGTAGTAATTAAATTCTTTTTTATCTTTTTGCCATTGTAAATATATTTACATCCAATTATTTAACAAAGACTATTAAAATTCATCTTAAGAATATAAAATTATTTAACAAAGACTATTAAAATTCATCTCAAGAATATAAAATTTTCCAATCTAATGTAAACTGATCTAATTTGATATCTGATTTAATCAAACATTGATTTTGAAAGCAAGGGATCCAAAGCCCATTAAGGTGTAATACGTATCAACCTATGTCTTATAGGTGTTTGAGTGTTTACTAATTGTTTTATGTAATAGAAATGTATTCGAAATTTATAGTAAACATTGGTAGTAATAAAGTGTCTAATCTCTAAATGGTTGTTTACTTGCTTTTTATGCTCAGTTAGTTTGGAAGGGATGAGTTTTGAACTTGAGATCTTGGAATTGTCTAATTACTCACCTACCAACTAAACTATGGTATAAGTAACTTGAAAAGTTGCAACAATTCATATAAATTAAAATTTAAACCAACGGGAGACTATGGCCTACCCTAGCCCCTCTTGATTCTGCCACTATGGAGTTGAAATTTATCGAATTATTGTAATTAGGGGTGAAAGTGATATGGACAAAAACCGAAAACCGAACCAAACCAAACCGAATTAGAAATTCGGTTTGGTTTTTTTCGGTTTTCGGTTTGGATCGGTTTCAAAAAATTGAAACCGAAATATTTCGGTTTGGATTCGGTTTGGGGCTTTCAAAAACCGAAAACCGAAATCCAAACCGAAGTTTTAAAGCCCAAAGATTCTCAGCCCATATATCCGGATATCCCCTACATATATAAAGCAAAACCCTAATTTTTTACTTCCCTTCTTTCACTCTTCTCAGTTAGTCAGTTCTCATTTCTGCGGCCTTCCACTATTCCTCATCAAAACCCTTATCCTCCATTCCTCTCTCAACACCTCACTCACTCCGGCCACCTCCTCACTAACTCCGACAACTACCTTCCTCAGTACGTATCTCACAACCACCTTCATCAGTTCGACAGTTCGTGTTTGTGCTCCCTCGATCTAGTCACGATTTCTAAAAGCAGCTTGTGTTCCGGTGTTTGTCATCACCACGATACCACCTTCCTCAGTCCGGTCACCACCTCCATCACTCCTTCAGTCACGATTTGTCACCTTATTCCACCGCTATTCGTGTTCGTCGCCGCTTGTGTTCATCGTCGCTCATCAATCACCACCACCATAAATTTTCTGGGTTATCCTTGATTTTTTTAATTATCCTTTATATAATCTATAGTTGTAGATGTTAGTCTTGTAATCAATACAATTTATAAAATTATTATAGTTGTGTTAGTGTATTACTTCTTTTTATTATTATTATTTTTTTAGATCTATTCATTGTAAATTTGACTGTTTTTTTAAAAAAAATATTTTTCTTCAACAATCTGGAAAAATCCCCTTAAAAGTTCGATTTTCGGTTTGGAACCGAATTAGGTTTTTAAATTTCGGATTGGATTGGATCGGTTTCAAATCTAGTTCGGTTTGGATTCGGTTTGAAAATTTCAAAACCGAATTAATTCGGTTTGGATTCGGTTTGGTTCAAAATCCAAACCGAATACCGAACTTTCACCCCTAATTGTAATGTACTTTGACTTAATGGAGTGAGAATTTTATTTTTTTTTCTCCAAAATAATCCACAAAGGGACATTATTATACTAATAAATCAGATGAAGTGACATAAAGACTCTTGTAAAAAAATAAAAAAATAAAATAAACAGTGACATAAAGAATGCGAGTTGTGAGGGATAACTCAAGTGGTTAGAGCTCCCCTCCCGATTCCAAGAGATCTTGGGAACGATTCTCATCACCTGCCCTTATGGCTATCTAAACACCCAAAAAAAAAAAGTGATTCGTGATTATGTTATTTAAGTAATTCAACACTTGTTAGCGAACTTTCCAGGGTTGGAAATGAGTCAATTCATGTGCTATCCTATTCCCACCACGCTTCACAAAAAAAAAAAAAAAAAAAAAAAAAAAAAAAACCACTTAAAGCAATCAAAAGAAGAGCAAATTTTTAAAATATCTTGGTCATGTAGACTTGCCTCTTAGAGCTCGAATAACATTCTGACAATCGCTTTAAATGATGACTGTCCTCACCCCCATCTCATGCGCATAATTCACACCCCAAGCAACAACCTTAGACCATTCTCATTCATTGGTAGGGATTGGGGGAGGGGTGGAAATAAATGACATTGTCTTTTTACCCAGTTACTCCACTTTTTCTCATGGATATCATATTTTTATAACTTCTTACACACTGACGGACTAAAAAAAAAAATCGCACTATTCTTTCTCCTACTTTTTCTTTTCCTACAATAGGAGTCTTATCAACACTCACAACTCTTTGTTTAAATTTTCAAGCTTTTTATTTTTATTTTTATATCATGCATGTCTCACCATTAATGTAGCTTTTTCTTTTGCCATTGCTGTGGGCAAATGTCCAATTCCTCATGGTCAATTTTTTTTAATGCCCATGAATATGAACTTAAAATACCCATTTTTTCACATGATTCTTCTCATGGAAAAAAATATGCCCATGAGTGAGAGTGCTATTAGGTTATGCTATATTCAAGTTAAAGGAGCTCAAGTGTTCGATAATAATCTATAATAAGGTTGTAAAGGTGTAATAAATACCACATTCTAAATAATTGATTTGTATAGTTGGGATTTTATAAGTCTTAACATTCAATAATGTGATTAAGTGTAGCGGTGAAAACTATGACGTGTAAGTTTCCATAAGTTTACTTTAAGATGAATTGCTTTCTTATATTTCTCTTCTTATTAGTTAGAAATCAGGTACGTTTTTATCCTCTCAGGTACATGAAAGAATAATCATTACAAAAATAAAATCATAGTTTTACCAAAATTCAAATTAATGGAAACTTTCGAGTTCAACGTACCAGTTGACATAACAACCCACTACAAAAGTTGATTTATTTAATCATTGTCCCGTCTCAGGTACTTAAAAAAAGTATTTAAACACAAACCCCTCCTAGTTTTTGGTTGAGAGAAGGTAGGATATACCATTTAGCATATGCAACAATTACATACGATATTTTCTAGGTATATTTGGGTCACCGATAGTTTCAAGTTGGATCAAACCAAAAAAATTTAAAACTATATCCAATCGATCTTGTGTAGTTTTCTATTTTCTAGTTACATGATATTTGTCATATAAAGAATGAAAAGGTGAAATTTATTAAAATCATCCTCCCTATGATATTTGTGTTATGGTTTTTTGTCATTAAAAAGAAAAAAACGATCACGAACAAGCACATAGTGATAGCTCAAGTGGTTAGAGGCTTAGAGTTTCCCTCTCAATTTCAGAAGATCATGAAATGGATTCTCAACCCCGCCCTTTGAGATTTTTGAATTTTTGTTCAGTACTTCACCAAAAGCTCGTGTACCGTATACGAGATCCATAATTAGACGACTCTGTAAAGACCGCCATATTTATAATTTATAAACTAGTTTTTGAGCCCGGGCGATGCCCCGGGTTATTACGTAAGGTTGATCATTAATATATATATTGTAATTTATAACTCAATTTTTTTTTGTAATAATTTATTGTTCATATTGAATTGTCATTTGTTACATATTAATATTTTGTATTAAAAAAAATACATAAAAAATAACTTAATTTGATGGTAAAACACTTAATTTTAAATTTAAAGGTTGCGTGTTTAAATCTTGTGGAAAACATTTTTTTTAATTATAAGTGCATAGTTATGGATGTCGTATACGATATGCGGGCTTTTGGTGGAGTACTAAGTTCGACGGATTTGACCCATTAATAGGTGGGTCGGGTCGGGGCTTTTAACGGGGCTCCAAGGCCTATTGTTGTTAATAAGAAAACAAACCTCCTCCTCCTCTCTCTCAGTCTCTCTCTGTTCGTTCTCCACTGAAGCGCACTAGACGTTCTCCATTCAAGCAGCTTCTCAAGTAAGTTGCCACAATCTAGGGTTTAATTTAATTCAATTGTCAGTGTAGTAAGTTAGGGTTCAAATATCTCAACTATTGGTTCTAATTACTAAGCTTATAACCAGCGATTTTTCTGTTACAAAATACAATTATGAGCCTAATTGATTATTCAATCAAAATTTAATCAAACTTTGTTGCTAATGTATTGCAGAATCCTTCAATGTTAGGATTGTACTATACTACTATGGAATTAGTTAAATATTGTGTTTTGTAATTGTTGGTGTAATGTGTAATTCAGGATGGACAAGCAATCTTTAGCAGCCCCTATAAAATCAAGTGTTGATAAATTTCAACTCATTCCTGAGTTTTTGAAGGTATGATTATTTCAATTTGTTTTTTTTTGATGATTAATTCGTTGTTTTGAACGAAAGGTTTAAATGATTATGGTTTCTGGGTATTACTGGGTTTATTTCATGTAATTTCTACATTATATGTTTTGGAGCATACTTAATAATTGGACTTTTGGGTATTGTTGTGTTGTTTTTTTTTTTTTTTTTTGTTTTTTTTTTGTTTTTTTTTTTGTATAGATGAGAGGGTTAGTGAAGGAACATTTGGATTCTTACAATTACTTTATAAGTACTGGGATTAAGAAGATCGTCCGAGTTAACAATGAAATTCGATCCAATGTTGACCGCGGAATCTATCTCAAGTATTTATCTCTAGCGCTTGAGTTTCTTATTAATGTTATTATGCTATTTACTGCTTGAATCCACACCACTTTGAAGTGAAACATCCTTATTCTTTCATGTATTTATTTAATTTAATTGTTTTATCTTAATGAAACATGTGCTGTTTCTTTGTCAATGTTTTGGGTTTTATTTATTACAGGTTTTTAGATGTTAAGATTGGCGAACCATCTATTGTTTTGGACGGTGTTTTCGAGAAGATCAATCCTCAGATGTGCAGACTATCAAATATGACGTTCGTAACTATACTCTTCTACCTTATTGGTTTTAGATTTTGTTCATCCTTATGGTTCTATTATGTAAATCCTCTATTTTTTCATTGAATCATGTTGTCTTTTTACACTATTCATGTATTAAACTTTGAGCACATATTTTACTAACATGTAAAGAAAAAATTATTGGAATTCCTTATTCATGCTTTGAAGGGGGCCTTTGGAGTTAGTTATTAGGGAGCTGTGGATGACGAGCCACATAGTCTTTTTGTAGATCATTTTTGCTTCCCTTTTGTCTCATACCTATGCAACTCGGTAAAAGTGGTAGCTTTTTCATATTTTTTGGCAGTCATCAATCTCTACATGGCTTTTCGCTTCCTCATTCTTGGCTGTTTCGTTTAGATGAGGTTGGAGCTCTATAAAGTTTTGTGGAATTTTAGAAAGATTCTTGAATATTTAGGGGATAGGTCCATGAGGCTACAACCCTACAACACTAGGACATTCACGTCCAAAACCACATTATTGGCAATATTTAAGTTGTTGATGGATTACATTACCTGACATTTTTTCTTAAGAGTATTTTGCATATTGTAAGAGCTAGATTCATTTTTCTCTTTATCTTTCTTATTAACTCTACCATATTTGCGAAATTTTGTAGATATCATCAACCTAAAGAATAATTGGATGGGTAGAGAAATGAGTTTTAAATTTTGGCCTTACTTTCTGATGTAGATTTATACGTGGTACTTTGTTGATTGACTGACGTTAGTGCTTAGATGAATGGCAGTTTTTAAATGAGGACTAAAAATGCCATTTTCGTTTTTTAACTCTTTAAATTATATTTTTTCTATTAAAGTGGTTTATCAATTTTCAGCATCTGGGTCATCTATTCTTTTGACATATAAACCCTGGTACCTATGTGGTAGTTTAATCAGAAGGTTGCATGGAAAAATCCAAAAAATATCTTATTGTGATCATCCCAAAAATCATTTTGAAACTAAGGCTTTATTGTTGTATTATGGCAGGTATGCGGCACCTATAGAAGCTCATATAGAGTATGTTACTGAAACTGGTGGTCAAAAGCAACTCTGTGAGAAGGTATGTCTGTGATATTGGGCATGAGTTTTGCATAATTAAACATTAGTTATTAATGCTTTTCACTTCAATTTTTTTTCATATTTGGCAGAAAGATGTAATTATAGGAAGAATGCCTATCATGTTACGAAGTCGTTACTGTGTGTTATATGGGAAGGATGAGACTGAGCTAGCCAAACTTGGTTTGTCACTGTCTTATCTGGTTGCATTTTCGTTCATTTGCTCTCTCGGCGACATTATAACATTGATTTTGTTTTTCTCATCAGGGGAATGCCCACTTGATCCGGGAGGGTATTTTGTTGTGAAAGGAAATGAGAAGGTGTTGTATTCTTTGCCCCTTTTTTCAGTATTCTTTCAGCTAATACATAAACTTGGTGTTTCCTTTTGTTGCTACTTTAGCTTATTTGACTCTAGGGAAATCCACATGCATGATGTGACATAGCTTTATAGTTGATTCATTTTCTTTTCGTGGATGATGGATGTTTGGAGCCCAGTCACCCCAGTGATGAAATTTATATTGAGTGGCAATCATCACTTGAATTTGTGGATAACATCATGGATACCATTTTATTTTAATCTACAATCCTTTATTTATGTATTTAGTACAATATTATTCTGTATCGTATATCTTTTCTTAGGACCATAAGAACAATCTTTCCTATTACTATATACAATTTTACAACTACTACATACAATTTTACAAATCATACTTCTGTAAAAGTTCTTGACCATTGATCTAAAGGATTTCTGGAACATCTTTTTGCTTAAAAGTCATTTTTGGTCGCAAATGATGAGATGGTTTAGCAACATAGCAAGAGTTGCTCCTTTTTGCTTTATGTTTGAAAGGAATTTTCCAATGGTCTTCCCTGCTATTATTACTTTTCCCACTTGGACGACTTAAGATCCCAATTAAGGCTTTCTTTAAGAGAAGGAATGTTTGTTGCAAGGTGGTGTAGTTTGTGCTTTAAGGAGAAAGAGTCTTTTAGCCACCTTTAGTTCTTCTTTCCTTTTTTCCCCTCCCTCTTTAACACTTACAGTAGTTTTGTTCAGCCTAATTTAATAAAAGATGCTTCTATAGCTTGAGAAAGATAAATGCAAAATGGCTTGCTAATATGTGGAATATGGTTTTGTTGGCAAATTGGTGGTGCATTGGAGAGAAAGAAATTGATGGATACTTGAGGTTGTTATATCCCCTTGCAAGGTTTCAAGTTCTCATTCAAGGCTTTTTTATTATTGGGGTAAAGTATTAGGTATCAAGAGATGCTTGATTTATCATGATTTTGTCTAAAAATTGATTCATGGTTGCTCAAGGGCGTGATATTTTTTTTAATTTTTCCCTCCTTTATGTATGGGTGACACATCTTTGTTTTTTTTTTTTTGTAAGTATAATTCTTAAGTACAATTATATTAAGTCATTGAATAGTTTTTCCCTTTAGTGAGTAAGGCAGGCTCATTGATATCATAATGTAATTATGTGCAGGTGATTATGATTCAAGAACAGCTTTCAAATAACAGAATAATTATTGAAGTTGATAAGAAGGGAAAGTGAGTTCAGCGTTTGATGTTGCTTCTTATTTATTTGCTAGTTTAAGCTTTTCCTCTACTTTTTTTTTTTTTGAGGTTGCGAAAGATGGGTTATTAGTTATGGACCCCTTTTTTCCTCACATTAAAGAAATAATAATTTAAAGGATTATCCTTTCCCCGCCTTAATAGTAGACTAGTCTAATAGCCTATCCTTTTCAACCTCAATACTCCCTCCGTTTTTAAATACTTGCTCCACTTTCCTTTTCCGGTCGTCTTTAAATACTTGCTCAATTTCCTTATTTGGAAACTTTTACAATATTTAATCCATTTCTCTCACCTAGTGGACCCAACTTAAATCATATTTTATTAATTTCATATTCTCTCTCCTTCAATTCACTCAACTACTTTGGTTTTTTTACAATTTTTTATTCTTCCCCTTACCCTACTACCTCTATATTTTATTTCATTCTCCAATTTCTCTTAAAACTCCGCGCATGGAGAAATGGAGCAAGTATTTAAAAACGGAGGAGTATTAATTTTATGAATTCATTTTACTTATATACGTGATTGATGCTGTTATTCATATATATATATCTGGACATATACTGATCTTGAGCAATTTTTTATAAACAATATTATCTTCAAAATTATACTAAATAATTTAAAGTTAATGGCTTGCCACTTGTGTGTTGTGTTGCTGATTAAAAATGGTATTTATTACTTTAATACTTCCTCCTTTCTTTAAATAATGCAAAAGTTCCGTTTTATGTAAGCTTCATATTTATTACAGTGTCTCCTTGTTTGGTCAAGATGTTGTATATCCTATCACATTGATCCCCCTTTTCATCTCTCTCTCTCCCCCCATTAATGTGATTTATGTTATTGCTCATATAATTAGATTTCCATTTTATGACTATATCCACCTGGGATCATGAACCAAGTAAAGAATAGAGGTCAGCAACGTGCCCTGGGTCTGGGCAGGACCTTTGGGCCTGCTATTTCATCACTATTTAGATGTATAATTAATCTTGAGCGATTTTTTGTAGATACTATTAGGCGTGACACTTGTTTTGCTGATTAAAAATGGTTTTTATAGTTTTAAACTTTTAATACTTCCTCGGTTTTTGAAAATATTGTAAATTTCCTTTTATTATGTGGTCTTCTTATTTGTTTTATTATGTGATCTTCATATTTGTCTAACATATTTTAGCTGTCTCAATTTGACTGTTGATGGTTTAGTTATACTCTGTATGACAGCTGGTGATTGCTAAGATTTAGTTGTTCACTGTATCCAAAAATTGTTTTGAAGTTAGATTACTAATCTTAGGTCATCACTGTTTGCTAAATCACTTTTTTGAATCTGGACATGAACATTTTTACTTTTCACATTTCCCCTAAGTGCTCAATATAATTATTGTATTGGCATGACACTTTTACTTTCTCTTTGCATTTGTAAGATATTCTAATTATTTCACTATTCTATGATTGCCTGAGAAACAAAAGATGGTCAGGTTGAGCACTCTTTCTAATTATAATTTTGTGTCAGTTTGGTTGCATCTGTTACTAGTCTGGGTGCAACATTAAGGAGTAAAACTGTTATAATGATGGAAAAAGAGAAGATATATCTACAACTCAATAGGTTTCAGAATAAGGTATTTCTTATATGTTATAGTAGTCTTGCATTAAACATTTACGTTTCTCATTACTTGATGTTGGTTGTAAGCAAATTATGCCTGTTGCCTTTAGGTTCCCATTATGGTGGTGATGAAGGCTATGGGAATAGAGAGTGACCAAGAAGTTGTACAAATGATTGGACGAGATCCACGCTATAGTGCTTTACTATTGCCTTCTATTGAGGTAATTATTGTAGAACTCTAATTTGTTTTTTTTATCCCTCATTTTTTTAATTACTAGGCATGTTTATCTACACAAAATAGCCAAGTCGGACGCTTGGACACGTACTCATGTCAGACATATGGGTACTTGAGTCCATGTAATTACTTTTTCATGAGAAAGATATAGTGTAATAGGAAATGTAGCGCCATAAAGTGGACTAATTTTGGTGGGGGGGGGGACTTCATGGAAAACAGGTAATAAATATTAGTGGGAGGAACTTCATGGAAGGACTCTAAATGGAAAGAGGGAAAAACTTTATAAAATGGGGGGAATAAATAGTCTTATTTTCGTAGCTACTGGCGACTTATATTCTATGTTCTTTGGGGTCTTAGGAGGCATGGTTAGTTTCTGTCAACTAGTTAGTAAGTACCGAAGCGCTAATTACTTGTGCCGAAACGCTAACGTACTTGCAAGGTTCGAAGACTTCAAACTGATTAAAATTAAAGAGTTATGAAACGTGATTTGTAATTGAGTATAGAGTAGTTGTGTATATGGATAGGTAATAAGTCTTTACTCTATTTAGGCATCAAAGGGATATCATCTTTATATTTAGTTTCTCTTTGGTATAATGCTAGTGTAATTTTTGCCGGCAGGTCATGTCCCTCTTAGATGTAAATGTGGTTTGAGTTCTTTAGTTTTGCTAAGTTATGGCACCCTTCTGGAATCCCTCTTGATTTTCATATTTTGTTAGTGAATGAAACTTTGTTATCTTATGTATACTTGGATTTTTTATTTATTATTTCCCTGGCATATGATTAGATTTTAGCCCTAGTTCACTTCACCCTAGTTAATGTACCAAGAAGGCCCTATTCACTTCACCCTAGTTAATGTCATCAAAAAAGTGTCTAGCTGATGATCTAAGTTTTTAGGTCTTAAGATGGTGGGTGATGATTGTTCCTATTTAGGCCCTATCCAGTTCACTTTTAAAAAATAATATTCAGTAAAAATAATTTCAGTTCAGTAAAAACAAGTCCATTTCAGTAAAATTAATTTCAGTTGAGCAAAAATCAGTAACTCTAAAGAAAAAATTATAATAGAGAGTTTGTAAAAACACTTTCAGCTTAGCAAGATTAATTTCGTTTCAGTAAATATAATTTTAATCTAGTAAAAATAATTTAAGTTTAGCAAAAATAATTTCAGTTCTGTAAAATTAATTTCAGTTCAGCAAAAATAGGGTGAAGTGAATAGGGCCTTAGTCATAGTTCATATCACTTTCAAGTTACTACTCCCTCCTCCCTTCTCCAGATTTAGGCGATCTGAAAGTTTTGGAGAAAAATATGCTTCATTCTGACATGTATCTTCCCTTTAACCTTTTTCAGCAAACATGTTTAGAAGTTAGAAAAGGGAAGGACTAAATCAATTCCACATCTCTTAAAATAGGCCACATAATTTATTATATTAACTATTAGAGACTTCTTTGTCCTCACGGTATATCACTGTATAGTTGCTGATTGTTTTGTATTCTTTGTGCTTCTCTGTGTTTATGCTTAATCCTGTTTCATGTTTCAATATAAATTGTTGATTACGTTTGTGTTTTAGGAATGTGCAAGTTTTGGTGTAAAAACACAACGACAAGCTCTTGAATTTCTTGAGAAAAAGGTATGTATTGTTTGTACTAATTTAAATTGTCGATTACACTTGTTTGTGCTGGTATATTTATAATATCGGGGATAGTCTTCCCTAGAAGTTGCATAATCTTACACTGAATGGTTCATTTCCTTACAATAGCTTGTATTTAATTCCAAAAGTGAATGATACTTTTAGCAGTCATATTGTGTGTTTCAATAAGTCTATACTCTATACTGCTTACTGCTCCAACTCCATTAATTGTTGGTGCTAGTTGAGGCAGCTTGTTTTTTCACCCATATTAGATTTTTGTCCTTTTTCGGATTGCTTTTTATGCGCAGCAATTGTGAAGGGCTTACTTTAATCCTATGAAATGTAAAGGCATGATGCCATGTGTCGAAAATTTGTTTTTGAAGACGTTGATTTTTTTTTAGCTGCATTCTTTATCTATTTGTACTGAATCTAGGCTACTCATTGGACTGTAAAGTGACTATATCCACACCTAAATTTAAATTGTTTTTAACTATCACTACTGTGTCTAGTAATATTATCTATTTATCTGAATATTCACCGAGTTTGAAACATGTTTTGGAACTTTTTTTCTTTTATGTATTTGCTTGAGTCATTTGTAGTTAATATCATTAAGGGCTGGATGCTGGTAGTGCAGGCCTTATGCAAAAAGAATGTTATTGGTGCATTTCAAAATGTTCTTTATTTTTCTACTGCATACTGGATTTATATTATCTGAATGATATATAAGGAATGGGTGTTGTTAGATAATTAAAATTATCTTTTAAAATCATCTATGACTGATTTATCCTGGTTGCTTAATTTATTTGATTACCTGTTTCAGGTCAAAAAACCACAATTTGTTAGTGCTCAATTTGAAAAGGTGATGTTGTGTCTCTCTTAACCTTTTCAATTATGGTATCTTTCTATGCTGTTCCTGACAAAGAGTAAAAATTTAATTGCAGGAAGATAGAGCTTTGAAAATACTACAGGATATATTTATTGCACATGTTCCGGTTAGTTACGCTAACTCTTGTTTCAACATATGCAGTTCCTCTCAGTTCCAATTTAGATTGGCGTTTCTGTTGAGAGGCTTATAGGAAAACAAAGAACTTCATATTAATCTCATGTCCCGCCTCTTGCAGATGCATGGGAGCAGCTTTCGTGCCAAGTGTTTATACTCTGCTGTGATGATGAGGCGTATGTTAGAGGCATTTTTAAATAAAGCTGCAGTAGATGACAAGGTGCGTTTATTGTATGTGCAGTGCTGGCGACTTGACGTCCACACTTTTGACTGCCGAAGTTTCAGCTTTTTGCTTGTTTTCTGGAAGAATATCAGATCTGAATCAACAAATCTGACCGACATACCAAATTTTTTGTGATGTGCTAGGATTATGTGGGGAACAAGCGGTTTGAACTTTCTGGACAGTTACTCGCTACGCTTTTTGAGGTATTGTCTTATATGCACTGGACATTTTTTCTATGTACATCATAGTGTTTTATCTCTTTTATATATTGAACTAAACTTTGATGATAAATTTAGGACTTGTTCAAAACGATGATTACCGAAGTTGGAAGAAAGGTGGATGCAATATTAACTAAAAAAAGTCGCTCTAGCAGATTTGATTTTTCTCAGGTAAAAAGTTCATGGATGGTTCAGTTGGACATTATTTTTTGCATCTTTTCTGTTTAGCAAATTAACATTTGAGGGTTTTCACCATTTATCTGCACCTTTTCTGCTGAGTTTTCTATTTGATCTATTGGTATGTGCACCCACAGAAGACCACATTTCTAGCATGCTACTTCTGATGTTCTTTTTCAGTTGACATGTTTCTTTTATCACATTCCAACACACAAGTGATTAATATCTCTAACTATCAACATCTAAAAAATATTAAAAGTTGATATTAATAATATGTAAATAGAAAGGATTCAAACAAGTTCCACATGACTATGTAATACCATAGCTATAAATCACAAAACCTAGTCAAAGTAAAGTTTGTGAATAATATCAAAAGTTATAACTTGTCAGATAAAAATAATAAACTGAGGAGGTATTTTCTTTTTTTGTTTTTACCATGCATTCAATGGACAATTGCATTTCGCAAATGTCAAATTACATCTTTTGGGTGCAACTGCTCATGTTGTAGTGCTGAACAAATTTTTAGCCATATGTATGAGCAGCCAACTTCTAGCATTTATGGAGGCAATTTCTTTTGATGGAATCTTTTTTATGATATCTGATTTTATACTGTAGTTTTAAAATGTAATATCTCAGTGTGCATCATTTTCTCTTTTGATGTCTTTTTTAATTATCTTTATAGCAATAATCCTTTTATGAAAGCATCTTCATAGCATATAATTCTGGTTTCTGTTGCGACTTGATTTATACATAGTATTTTCTGTTTTTTATTTTATTTTATTTTATTTTCTGCTCCCTTTCTGAGTTTCTTTTAATCTTTTCAGCATATAATAAAAGATACTATTAGCTTTGGTTTAGAAAGAGCTCTTTCAACTGGCAATTGGTGCATCAAGCGGTTCAGGATTGACAGGAAAGGTGTAACACAGGTTTCATTCTTCTTTCCCGTATCTTCAACTTTTAGTAAATTACTGTTTTTGGTATGATGAAGCTTTTAGTGATTGAGCCTGTGGATATGGTAGGTACTTGCTAGGCTATCTTATATTCAAGCATTGGGCTTCCTTACCAAAATTCAACCACAATTTGAGAAGTCGAGGAAAGTTAGTGGACCCAGAGCTTTACAACCTAGCCAGGTCATAGTTTCTATGAGATTTTAGCTCTGCAACTATAAGTCTTTTAAGCTTCTGGTCTTGAATAGAAAATTGTGTTGTCCTGTTGCAGTGGGGTATGCTCTGCCCATGTGATACGCCAGAAGGTGAATCTTGTGGATTGGTAAAGAACTTGGCGTTGATGACTCATGTTACCACTGATGAAGAGGAAGGCCCATTAGTATCTCTGGTATGTTTTTATTGTGGAAATTCATGAACTTTTACAGATTCAGTAGTCTATACCATACTGTTCTGAAGTTGAGTTAAATACGTCAGATAGGTTAGGTTCAAGTCAGGTTATTTACAAAATGGGTCATTCATAAGCAGTCATTTTTTGTTCATGACCCTAACTCCTAGCGTATAACTTATTATAATCTTTCAGTATTATACTACTCTCTCTGTTCTTTTTTGCTCTGCCCAAATAATGTAGATGCCATTTTTAATTTTATCTAATTGGTCTATATCCCCTGCAAACCGCGAATTGTCGTAAAAGGTAAATTATACAAAAAACTTTGTTATTTTTGGCCTAAAAAGACGACTTTGGCAGCTAATTCCAATCCTGTACTTGTGAATAAGTTAGTGCTGGTAAAAACTAATAGCAAAGTATATAAGAGCGAGGGACATGTAAGTATTAGGCATATTCAACTTAAAAGGAGAGAACATACCATTAAAGAAAGGGTATAGGAGAGTTTGGAAAGGGAAAATGTAATCTTTTTCTAAGTTTTTAAAATGTCTCATCTAGACAATTAGGTGGCCTCACTTTGGCGACAATGGGTTTTAAACTACCTTTCCTATATATATATATATATATATATATATATATATATATATATATATATATATATATATATATATATATATATATATATATATAGGGAGGGATCCGGTGAGAATAGGTCCATATGTGAGAATTCATACTTATATGAGAAGTGATTTAAAATTTAGAACATGTGAGTAAAATTTTAGAACATGTGAGTAAAAATTTAGAACATGCGAGTTAAAATTTAGAACATGTGACTCAAATTAAAATTCTAACATATGAGTAATAAATTAGAACATTTGTGTGAGTAATATGTTTAGAACATCTGATTTTAGAATTAGAACAAGTGATTAAAAATTTAAAAAATTTGCTTTATGAAATTTTAAACATATGAGTAAAATTTAGAACATCTGACTTAAGATTATGAACATGTGAAGAAAAATTTAGAACAAACTGATATAGAATATAGAAAGTGTGAGTAAAGAATTTAGAACATACGTGTAAAAAAAAATAGAACATACGTTTTAAAATCTGGAACATATAATTAAAAATATTAGAACACACGTTTTAAAATTTAGAACATATAAGTTAAAATTTTGGAACAAGTTATTTAAAATTTATGACATCAAACTTAACTAATTTATGGTTTAGAACATGTGAGTACTAAATTAGAACATTTGATTTAATTTAGAACACCTAAGGAAAAGTTTAGAACATCAGATTTAAAATTTAGAACATACGAGTAAAAATTTAGAACATAAAGAGTGTTCTCACATATGAAAATTCTCACATAAGAAAAATTCTCACAAGAGCCTTCCCCTATATATTTACTTTTTTTGTAAAGGACCTTTTATAATTTTTATTACCTTGCTCTGTTGTAGTAATATTACAACAAGGATGAAATTACACATATCAAAGCACATTTTATGTGTTAAATATCTATAATTTTATAAGAATTAAAAAAAAAAGTTAATATAATGAAAGCATATTACAAAACGAATCTAATTAGACCCCACATGACTATTTTTGTCTTAATGTTAAATCATAATATTTGGTCAAACAAAGTGATGAATAGTACAAAAGTCACATTGCCTTTTAAAACTAAATTATGAGCCTATGACTTACCAAGTTGCTTAAGCTCGTTAACTCTACAAGAATCAAGATTTATGAAAGAAATATGTGAAATATGAAGTTTAAAGGTGATTAAATTTGTGAAAAGAAGGTGCAAAAGAGCACTTGCAAAAGTCACATCAGCAATGTCTTAAAGGTTAGTTTGTGTTTCATCCAAGAACAAACTTATAATGTTTGAGTTTGGCAGTTTCATCACGACTGCATTGTACAAAGTAGAATATTTGCCACAAAGCACCCGCATAGCGGCATAGCCAACTAATGTGATTTCGCGACAATTACCTTGACTGTGATCACATCCACGATTCAAAACTATGATTAACATTAACTACTATATATGGACCGTTATATCTAGTTTAGGCTCCCCACCCTTATTTTTAGTAACAGGATCCCCCTTTACTTCTATCGTGGTTCTTTTCCTAGAATAAATTTGACACTGTTCTTAATTCTTGTACCATTGTATCAAACTTATGCCCGAATTCTTATTTTATTGGTTACATTTTTGCCTATATTTCCTGCACTTTATCATTTTCTTTCAATATCTGAAAAAAATGTCTATTTTTCCCTGTTATTTATCTTTTCTTTCTATATCTGAAACTTGTGTATAGTGTTACTGTTTGGGTGTTGAGGACCTGGAACTACTCTCTGGAGAAGAACTGCACTCGCCAAATTCATTTCTTGTGATTTTCAATGGGCTTATTCTTGGCAAGCATAGAAGGCCACAGGTATATATGGTTACTACTCCCTCTGTCTCAATATAGTTGTCACACCAGGCTCTACATAGAGTTTTGTGGATAAATTGTTGCCTTATCTATTACTCCTGAACTTTATAGTTGTTAGACTTTGACAGGACAAAGTTTCCAATGCATGATTCTGACCATTGGTATCTTTGATTATCTATTATGTTTGTTATGTATATGTTTTTAGTTATACGTCAAGAAAAACTCAAAGACATGAATCATGACATCCATTTTTATATTTTAGTTAAAATAATGGTCAGTATATGGCATGTGTTAAGGCTGAGTACTATCTGTGGAGCTATGTTTGAAGAGAATTTCTGTAGTATTTTAGCTGCTATAAATGTGTTGCTAGGATTGAGATTTTTTAATCTCTCTTTCTCTTTTAAAATCAGCATTTTGCCTCTGCCCTGAGAAGATTGAGGAGATCTGGAAAGATTGGCGAGTTTGTCAGCGTTTTTGTTAACGAGAAGCAGGTATTTCTGCTCTAAGCCACTGATAATAATTCTTTAACTAGCCTTGTTTGAACTTGTATCTTATGATTATTCTGTTGCTTTATTATAAGGTTATATGGCTTGGATTATTATGTAATTGTGTGATCTGTATTATTGCTTATCTAATTAAGTTTTTTTTAAAGCTTTTAGTAAAATTGCTTGTGTAGTAGTTTGTCAGTCACTGATTGACATAATATTTGTCAGTTTGTATGAAAGCATGTGGGTTATTAGTGCTTCAGAAGAAATTGATTGAATGACTTTTCTCTTTGCATTTTTAATTTGTCTAGCCTTTTGTTGGGAAGTACTTTTTATTCAACTAGTCAACCCTATGTTTGGGAAGTCTTGTAACTGACTACGGGATACGAACAATAAAAAATGGCCAAAAGATTGTTTGATTGATAAAGCTTAAAGCTTGCGAAATAGCGTCAACGGCTTTAGGCCATTACTCTCCAAGTGTTTGCTTACAATTTTCTGGATACCTAATCTACTTTAGACTTCCTCTACTTATACTACTTCAAGTACTACATAAATGAAAAAAGCCTTAATTGCTAAATTGCTACTACTTGTCACCTAGCTGAGTTACCATAGTAAAAGCTAATTATCCAACAGCCCTGCTTTGCCACTAGGGAGCCGTTGCTTGTGTTTGTGAGTGGTGTGACTGTCCTGATACGCCTGCTGTTCTTGTCCCCTCCTTGGTCTCCTGCTGTACACCAAGGTGAGTGGTGGAGGGTGTGGGTGTATTGCAAGTCTTTTTTGCTTATTTCTTACTTGTCAAGCCTTTTATTGTCGGTTATTGTATGGCATAAACTTTAACAGCCTGTCACTTGTCAAGCCTCTTTATTTTGGTTCATCCCTCTTTGTTTTAGTGAGAGCTGCCTTTATCTCTATTGACTGTTGTGCTTCAGTAACATGCTTTTATGCCTCAGTGATGATGTGCCTCACCACAGTTGTCGGTATTGAAGACTTGATCATGTACCCTTATATATTTCCCACTAAAGATATGATGACAGACTTATGAAAATGCCATGGATTATGTTTTAGCCAAATTTAACCTATGTGGTGACACTTGGTTGGGACGTCGGCGTCTAGACTAGGGCTCTATTTTCTTCAACTGCTTTCTTTTTAACAGAAACTATTTACCACATAAACTAATATGTACTGATTAAATCAGATTTCTTTTAGTGATTTCAACTTTGTTTTATTTATTTGTACATGTTGAAATTGATATTTATGCTTTTTTTATTTGTTGAAACTGATTTTTATTTTTCTAAATTTTACAGATTCACTATAATATTTATAAAACCAACGATTCTTACAGATCTTAGCTAAATTTTACCTATTGGAATTGATCTTTGCCGATTAAAGCTTATTTATGATGAATATTATTCTTGTAAGGTGAAGTGAAAAGGGCCCAAATGAATGAAATAAAGACGAAATTCAAATGGCATTATGAGAGATATAAGACAGGAGATGGTAACGTTGAGAGCCTACCTAATGTTGCTGATATTAAAGTCTTGATTTTCTTGAGAGAGAGAGAGCTAAATATGCCACTTGTAATTTAAATGCCGTGCCTTCTGCTTCTAGATGTCTAATGTCTTGATGATATCAGCGTTTCATCGGCAATTGGCTCTATTCTTTGTGAATTGAACCAAAAAATAGATGTTTTACTCTATTGCTTGAAAATATCGTAGGCAATAGTGGATCTTTAGTGTCACGGTTATTTTGTGGACAGACTATTCTTGATAATTTTACAATTTATGTAGCTTGTTCATTCTGGTGTGACATTATTTGCTTTTACCCGGTGCCTTATGATATGTGAATCTAATATACTTGTTATTTTGCAGAGTTGTGTGTATATTGCATCTGATGGAGGTCGTGTTTGTCGTCCACTTGTAATTGCTGATAAAGGTGTATCAAGGATCAAATATCATCATATGAAAGAGCTACAGGTGAATTAGGTGCAGCATTAACATGGTAACGAAAAAATAGAATTATGCTAAACGAACCATCATGCTTTTGTAGGATGGAGTGCGCACTTTTGATGACTTTTTGCGTGAGGGTTTGATCGAGTATCTAGATGTTAATGAGGAAAACAATGCCTTGGTTAGCTTCTTAATTACTTAATTGCAATACGTATCTTTGGCTTTTCCATGCAATGTAAAAATTATATATATGTGTTCTTGTTAGATCGCATTGTATGAAGACCAAGCCCAACTGGAGACAACTCATATCGAAATTGAGCCGTTCACAATCTTGGGTGTTATTTCTGGGTTGATCCCTTATCCCCATCACAATCAGTCGCCTAGAAATACGTATCAGGCATGTATCAGCCATTATTAACTGGAAATGAATAAGAACTTGAGAAGTACTTCTTTACTTCCTTTTCTATCCTTCTACTTAACTGTGGAATTTCTTTTTGCTCTCTAGTGTGCTATGGGAAAGCAAGCCATGGGAAATATTGCTTATAATCAGGCAAGTATCCATCTCATCATGCTCTTTCTATTGTCAATTCTATTTTTTTTTTTTTTTTTTTTTTTTTTTTGCGGTGCAGATTTATTCTTATACTTTTCCATGGTCATTAATTCTTTTGTTTTTTGGCTTTGTTAGTGATCTGTAACTCTATTTGTGGAAGTTAAGATACAGAAATTTGTTGTCAGGACTGACCAAGATAGAGTACGATAGGCTGAAGCTTTAACATATGTTTGTTTCAATAATTATATCTCCCACGACCTTAACAAGATGTCCATAACTTTTTGCTTGGTTTAAACAAGGTTCATCGAGTTGCCAATTTAAGTATCAGAGCAATAATCACTTTACATTTTTGTAAAATATGGTATTGAATGAATTCATGTGCGATGGGATTTTTAATAAAAACTCTCATATAAAGGGTGATATTGACCAAACTGAATTACTAGTAGTTGGTGTTAGGGAGTGCACTTAGTCTTTGAGAGAGAGTAATGCTACTCATCTTTGGATACCTGGTTGCTTTCTTGTCGCTTATTGGCTGAGTTCTGAATCAATTAAATTATGTGCTGTTGCAGCACTCTTTGTTAAGTAATACTACTCTCTAATGTCTGTAATAGACAGATTTTGTGATTTATCAGATGTTTTGGTTTAACTGCATTAAATGCTCTTGTAACTGCCAAAGCGGGTTGAAGTGGTAAGATACTGGTCGATACTGGTTTCTGGCTCTTTGCACCATCCTGTTCTGACATGATTGATCATATATTATTTATTAATTTTTTATTAATTTTTTTTTTATCTCCATCTGAATTTTATTTAAAGATTTTTTTTTCAGAAGTTATATTGAAAATTAGTCTCAAGGGATTCAAGGCGCTTTTGGATGCCTTAGTTTCAACCTTTTTATGCATGATCTTCTTTGTAGCCATGTTTTTTTTTTGTTTACATATTATTGTGATCATGCTCTATGAACATCCTTTCTCTTTAGATACTTTTGGCTGTCTAGATTTTTGTTGTACTCTTTTACAAGCTGGAGTACATCAAGGACACATATTTCCCTGTATTCATTTCGTTATAATCTTGACTTAATTACTGCCTCTTGCTTATATTGATTTATGATGAGCTAATTGCACATTATGTTATTGCTTGTCAATGATGTAGCTCTTCAGGATGGACACATTACTATATCTTTTAGTATATCCTCAAAGACCATTGTTGACGACAAAAACAATCGAATTGGTATGTTCACTAACTTGTTGTACTTGGCTACTTGCCGATCTATATTATTTTTTCTCAGAGGAGAATTTTTTATTGCGAGTGTTATGAATGAGCATGGATCCCCTTTTTAACTTTGCCTTTTTCCTTTGAATATGAGTTTGAGTCTATTTCACCAAATGGTGGTTATTGACTGGAAAAGCTAAATAGAAACAGCCTGTTAAAGCCAAAGACTTTTTCTGAGCATGTGGCTTTGTACTTATTTACAGGTGAAGTATGATAAGCTTGGTGCTGGACAGAATGCAACTGTTGCTGTAATGAGCTATACTGGATACGATATAGAGGATGCTATAGTTATGAATAAATCATCATTAGATCGTGGTTTTGGGCGTTGTATAGTGATGAAGAAGTATTATTTAAATTTAAGCAAGTGACTAATTTATATTCTTCAATTTTGTACAATGACTGATTTCTTTTTGTCATCTTGTCTTGTGTTTGCCGTTTGATAGGAAGAGTGCAATTATGCAGAGGTACGAGAATAACGCATCTGAAAGAATACTACCCCCTACAAGAGAAGGATATGCTGCAGAAAGAATGCAGGTAATACATCAATTCTTTGACAATCTGAATATCTTTTGTTCAGTGTGACATGCCACTTTGTGAAATGTCTCTGCGTTTTTTGCTCTTCTTTTTTCTTTTGGGTCGTGTGCATGCTTGTGTGTTGTTGATTATAAGTTGTGTGGGGAAGGGGGGGGGGGTGTTAGGGATTGAAATTTTTTCAAGGCAATGAATTAATTAATATTCTGTGTCAAGTTATCATTTGTCACTTATTAATTTTGATAAAATTACAACCTATGTACCATTGTTGTAGTAGGGTGACAAAACATTTCTAATATGGAAAGTTGTTGAAACACAAAAGATATGCTACTTTTACCCTTTAAATATTCTCAGGAGGTGTTGAGATTTTGTGAGCAACTATAATCAAATCTGCGTAGCCTTGATCTTTATTGTGTTGGAACTTGGAATGTATAGACATTACTCTTATATGTGAATCCAATTTATGCTTTTTCCGGGGTATGGTAATAATATTTTTCCATGACTATGGTGTGCATCATACAGAAATATTTTTGGTAGCTATAAATATAGATGACTTGGGAATGTTTGGGGCATCCCACATACATGTGGCTAGGCAACTAGTAGATTTACACAATGAAGCACGGGTACACCATTGATGTGCCATATCCTGTACAGGGGATGTATGGCATTTCCTTGAAAAGTGGTACGGGAAGGGTTTTTGGGTATGGCAAGGATGAGAGATGGGGACGTTCTAAGGACATTTTGGCTATTTTTCGACGTCCCTAACCCAATTGAGCCCCGTCCGTTCTTAAAAATCACTTTTACTCACCCGAAAACCGACCACCTGTAGAACCCAAAAAAATTGTTTAATATCTATGGTGGCAAATTGCGACTACTTGGTCATATGTCGGCGTGTTCGTTTGTGTGAAAGAAAGATTTGTGGTGGGTCAATTTCCAACACCATGTTCATCGACATCTAGGGATGGCAATGGGTTAGGACACTTGTAGTCCTTATCGGACCCTACCCTAAAATACGAGTATGGGTCCAATTTTTATAGACCCTATGGGTACGGGTAGGGTATGGGTATAAGTATAGGTGGTACCGAGTAGGGTTTAGGGTCCGGGTACATTGTATTTGGACCGAGACCCTACTCGTGTACCCGTCAAACCCAGACCCGTACTTAGACCCGCCCAGTTTACTTAATTTAAAAAAAAAAAAAAATCAAAATCAAATAATACTTGTAAAACCCTAAGTACGTAAGGAGCTTATAGCCGGCTTGCCGCATATTCCAATTTCGCATTGAGTTCCAATTTCCAAACAGAGAAACCTCAAGTCCTCGACTTCATTACTTCACCGCTTGTTTTACGATTTGTCAAATTAATTGTTAATGCTCTCATGTATTAGTTTTTAAATTTTTTGCGTGATATATACAATCGTACACTAAAAAATACGATTAAAAATTAGCGGAAAAAAGGGTAAAGGACCCTGATTGGACACTGGACCCTACCCAGACTTGCTAGTTATAAGTTTCACAACTGACATGGGAGAGTGAAAGTTCTATGAGTTATCTTCACCCTTACATGTAAAATATTGGAATACTGCAAGAGTCATTGTAAGAAGGAATTTAGGGTATACTTCTTTAGGGTCCTATGAAAGTTTTGTGCTGTTGTATTAAATGGAGAGCTATATATTGGTAGAAATTGGTTTAATCATAAGTTTCAAAACTGACATGGGAGAGTGGAAGTTGTCTCTTTCGTTTTGTAGTCATCATTTGGAAGGCTAGGAATATCCTTCTTGTGTTGCCGTGTTGGTGGTAATGTGGGAAATATTGTTGTTTTTATTTATTTATATGTTAAATCTTTACTCATCAAACCAATTTAGCCTACTCTTGGGCATTTGGGTTGGCATGACCTAACACATGATACATTGTGCATTCATAGCCAACACATTAGACAGATGATGGCTAACACATATACATTTTGGGAGGAAGTTAGAAATTGGAGTAACCATTTTGTGTCTATTTCCCTCAATTATATAACTTATCCACTTTACTTTACACTCCTGTTTCCTTATTCCACTCTTGTAATGGTTGGGATCTTCATTTGTGGAGCCATCAATGTGATGGGGAAATAAATGAACACCTTTGTTTTCTCAGTGGTTGAGGATTCTAGAAGGTGATTGAGGGATTTATTGGGCTGCTCAACTTCCAAGTCTTTGGTTTGCTTACATCCCTAGTTATCCTCTCTTCCCAGTTGACAAATTTATTAGAAGGGGCAGGTTCCTCTTAAGGTAAGAGCTTTTGGATTTGGGTAGAATAAACATTATTGATATGCTCTTTTGCTGGACATGTGCATGTTGTGTGGTGCCAATAGTGAGTCGTGCTTGCCTGCCTTCCTTCATTGTGAGGTGATGAGTAATATTTTGAGGCAGCTGTTTGCTGTGTACAGGTAGTCCTGGATCCGTGGTACTTTTTTATTGTTGTAAATTTGTGTTTTGGTCTTTTAAAGGCAAAGCAGATGTTTTATGATGATGCTGTTTTGCCTGTAGTTAATAGTTAGAACGGAATGCACAAATAGTCTCTGGAATCATTCCAACTTGTGATATACTTTCTAGGATAAACTAACTTGTTTAGCATCTTTGTGGACTACAAATTTGTAATCTGTTTCTGCTGCTATGAGGACTAATTCTCCTATGTATTTTCTGCTTTCTATTCATATAGATTAAATAATCTTTTTTCCAAATAACAATTAACACTTTTATAGCATTTTTCACTAAGCAACTTTTGTTACTTGTTTAGGCATTGGATGATGATGGTATTGCTGCTCCAGGACAAATCATTCGACAAGATGACTTCTTAGTTAACAAGTCCACACCAAAGATTACAAAGGGGCCAATCACCTCAGGAGTGATACCAGATAGGTTGTTTGATTTTTCATTTTATTCCGGTTGCTTATTTATGCCCTGTCCCAAAATATTGTGCTACTTTGGAGAACCATCTCAAGGAAGGCTCTTTAGGAAAGTAAAGATAAAGAATGGTTAAGGAGCACATGGTTTTAATGAATCACTTGTTCTTTTTACCTCTTCCTCTTGTCCATTCCTAAATCTTCTTATGTGAAATGTTTTACTGTATTAACTATGTGGAACGTTATTATGGGACACCTAAAACTTTTAAAGCTGACAGTAGTCTCTGCATATAGTAACATTTTGATGTAACTTGGTATGGCTTCTCCAGTGAGTATAGACCAACACCTTTCAAACTTAGTGGTCTTGCTGGAGATAATTCAGTGATAGATAGAGTGGCACTCTTCGCAGACAAGAATAGCAACATGTGTATAAATTTCATAATTCGCCAAACTCGTCGTCCAGAGGTAACTGCAATTATATTCATCTTTCAATACAACATCCATTTGTCATATTAAAACACACACTCATTCTGTCTTGCAGGTTGGTGACAAGTTTAGCAGCAGACATGGGCAGAAAGGTGTATGTGGTACCATTGTTCAGCAAGAGGATTTTGTTTTCTCTGAGCGTGGCATTTGTCCAGATCTGATTATGAATCCCCATGGGTTTCCAAGGTATTCTTGTGCTGAACACCACCACCACTAAGATTTGATGTAGACAAGATTTGATGTTATGAATGAGAACCACTTCCCTAGACTTTAGTCATCTAAGCTTTTCTTCTAAATGTTGATTTATTTTAGTTGATGTCACAGTAATTTTATTCTACTTTGCAAAACAATAGATAACAGAAGAAGTTGATGCTTATAACACCAAACTTACAAGTTTAATCTTTTTTACTGAAATGTATTCTTAGAAAGTTTAACTGTCAGAGGGGAATCATATTTATTACCAATTGTGTGTTTTGCGCATTGTTATTGGGGAATCCAGGGGCATATGCTCTTACATGGAGGAATAGCTTTTTCATGTTTACTATATAGGAAACTATTGGGTTGGGAGTTTGGGACTGGCTAGGTTTGCTCGCAGACTCTGATAAACATTTGCAGTTGACTTCTTTGGGAGGCATAAGAGGAGAAGATCATCTTGGCTACCAACTTGCATGCCTATTCCTTGAGATTCTATTTCAAATTGCAAATAATTTCTTGCTTTTATTTGGTGTAATTGGCATGAAACATACATTATTTTTTTTCCCAAAAAGTTCTTTAGTGGAAATCTATATTCTCTTTACAGTGTATGCTTCTTCATTATCTCTATGATGTTACTTCACTTCATCTTACAGTGTTTGGCCAAGATAAATATGTAGGAGTCTATAATTTTCTTTTAGATGTTTAAATTATTTTTTTCAATGAAAGTGAATGTGGTTTTGAAAAGGACTAAGAACCAATCACATAGCTTCATAAGGATTAATAGTCCCCCCCCCCCCTCCCCCCGGGGCATTGAGGCTAAGCGAGAAACTCTCTTCTGAAATTATCCCTTGCAAGAGCAGCCCTCTTAGATAGCCACACGTGTGGATTACAAATGATATTCTATCCCTTTGAGAAGTACTGAAAATAATAACAAAACTTTTAATACATAGCTGTAATAAGGCTTGTATAATTTTTTTACTAAACCTTCTGTGTTAATAATTTGGACTTAAGTCCACTTCCTTTTGTTCTTTACCTCTTAGCAATTTTATTTCCTACTTCATTTTCCTACTTGTGATTATTGTTCACTAGTGATAACAATGTTCCAAATAAAAATAAAAAATAAGGAAAAGTGTCATGTTGCTAAAGCTAGAAATCAGTGATTATAAATTAAATTTAATATATGCTTATGTCAAAGGTAGAATGGAACTATTTGATTGTTGTCATTGCATCTGTATAAAAGAATGGGAAGTCAACACTTAATGGTAATAAATTTATGTGAATGCAAAACCCCGTGTTTCTTCTAGGGAATATCCTAATTGTTCTAATGCAACCATAAAGATTTTCTTTAAGGGATATTAATTCCATCTTGTTACAATGTTTGGGGCAAGCTGATGTTGGTTTACGTGAGTTTGGTATATATACTACAGAATTTGAAAAGGGAGATCTTTTATTTTTTTTGTTTTTTTTTGGGGGAGGGGGGTTTGTAGGGTGTTAGGGGAGGGTGTATGATCAGTGATGGCTAAAATCCAACCTTAGTAAGCATTAGTGATGTTCGACTCTTAGGCCTTGTTTAGTTGAATAAAAAATGTGGGGAATTGAAAAATCATGGGAATTTAAAAACGGGGGGTTTGTTTGGTTGACTATAAAAAGTGAAATATGTAGGAATTAAATTACCAAGCCCTCCCCGGGAATTTAACACTCCCGTGATTTGCAAATTCCTTCTCTACAACCAAACAACTTTATGCAATTCCTAGGAAATTGAAAGAGGAAATTTAATTCCAATGAAATTCAATTGCCTATGGGAATTAATTTCCTATATCAACCAACCGATACCTTAAATTTAACCTCCTTTTCATGTTAGGCTTTGGATGCAATTACTATGTTACTTATTATGTTTTTGTATTCAGTGGGGTAATTGTTAAACCAAAGCGAACTTCTTTAGAAATTGATGATCACTGGATGAAAATCAACGCCCCCTACACATTGTTGTCTTACTTTAATACCTACGCATTGTGTTGTAGGTCTTGATAGATATTGTCTAGCCACTCTTATTAGAGAACCTTAGATACCTAAGGGGTCCATGATTTTTTTTTTTTTTTTTTTTTGGTCTTTGACCTCATTTGTGCCTCCAATACGCACATACGATTAGTGTTGGACTTTAATGCCCTCCACAATGTATCTGTTATCAATTCCCTTGGCAGACTACCAGATTTAAAATAGAGAAGGTTGGTTTGTAGAGAAAGCTCGGTCAATCCTTTTTTCTATCTTATATGTTATGTACACTATACCTTACTTGTGGAATGACGATAGTTTGATTTCTTGTTGTAATTACATTTTAAAGAGAGCTCTTTCATTTAGGAGATGAATGAGTTAAAAGCTTTTGTTTTCTACTGCTAATCTTGAAGAAATTGCTAGAGTTCCGTAGTCCTTAGAACATCTTCCTTTTTTCTTATCTATTTTTCTTATAGGAAATCTTGAGTTAATAGTGTTTATTTAGATTTCTCTTGTTATAGCTGTGTATGGTTTTTGATTACATATAAACAGAAGGACATGTAATGTAGGATCTGAAGTGCAAAGTTTTGATTATGGAGGAAGTTAAAACGATATGTAGGAAATGGGTTTGTATAAGCACATAGCACAATTGTATTAGATTGAAGTGAATGCAAGAATAGGTTTTTGATGGCGCAAGAGATAATTTCCTCATTCATGTAGTTGACCTTATCCTTTTGGGATTAAGGTTTTGGTATTGTTGCCTTTGTTGGTGCAGTGAAGGATCTTTTATTTTAATAATTATTTGGTTGTGCTGGGAGTGCGGAGGAGAGGTTACATTTTCCCTGTCATTTACACCAATAAACTACTTTGAAGGATAAAAAGTTGAGGGCAAGATGGCAGCCAATTACAAATTGACCCATAAATAGCAATAATATACTCATCCCCAATAAAAATCACTACTCAGTCTGTCCCTCTCTCTCTCTCTCTGCTGCTGCTACTGGGGTCATCCTAATCTCATCCAATAAACTTTGCAACTTGCCATTTCACAACTCAGTTTTGAAACAAAATCTTGAAATATTTTTGAACAGATGAGAATAAAAGAAAATTAAATTTCACCCAACAATCTCAAAAAAATTTAGAACTACAAGTATCAACCCAACCCCCCCCCCCCCCCCCCCCCCCTTCTCCTTTTCACCCAAAAAAGAGAAGGTTTGTGTCTTATAGCTCAATGTAAACAAAGCCCTGAATTCAAACATGGAATTGTAGGATTCACTGAAATATGATTTGTAATTACTATGAATTAGGATAAAAGGGTTTTGCTGGATTGTGTGAGTGAGGATTGAATTGAAGTAAATGTCGGAGTTTGAAGGTGAAGAAGAGGATGAATGCTTGTTTTGGGGGGATTGGGTGGTCCTAATTGGCTGGATAGAAAACCGTTTTTCAGTTGCTGGAGTTTAACTGGAATCTGTTCAATACAATTAAGGTAGCAAGCATTTGGTGGTTGATATTTCAGTTGCTGGAGTTAACTGGAATCTGTTCAAGGCTTTATATACTTTATCTGATTGATTGTTATTGACATAATATTACTCCTATAATTTTTATTTGGCTTTATGTCCTCGTATTAGTTCTGTGGCTTTTCCCTCTTTGGCAAAATTCTCTATTTTCAAAAGGCGGAAAAAATCACTTTCAGTATGTCTTCAAAGTAACTTAATTGCATGAGTTGTGTGTGTGTGTGTGTGAAGAAAAAACTAGTGAGAAAGGGATGCCTAAATATATATGTTGGTGCACTTGGCAAATAATGCTTTAGAAGTTTTTGTGGGAGAGCATGGAGAAAATTATTCGATGTTATGGTAATCATTATTGTTCAACAATCTATATAGTATACATCATGTGTTGTTGCCTTGTTGGACATGACTAGAATATGAACTGATATTGGACATGTTTACATGATTTATATCTTTGGTAGGGTAACATATCTTGCTTAATATGTGTGTATTGTAAACTGATCATATAGACGGGCATCTTATGCTTGATTGTAATCTGTTTATATATAATGTGCTTGTGTGGCTTTGTTTTTTTCAGTCGAATGACTGTAGGGAAGATGATTGAGCTTCTGGGAGGTAAAGCTGGAGTTTCATGCGGCAGATATCACTATGGAAGTGCCTTTGGTGAACCAAGTGGCCATGCCGATAAAGTTGAAGATATAAGGTTTTGTATCACTTGTATGATAGAGTTTTGGTTTTCCCAAGATGTCTTCTGAATTTAGTTTGTGCATTTTCCCAGTGAGACTTTAGTGAAGCATGGATTCAGCTACAGCGGCAAAGATTTCCTCTATTCAGGTTATTATTTCCCATCTAAACCTTTTTACATCATGAGATATGTATTTCTGGCCTCTCTCTTGCATTTTTTCTTTCTTATATCCATTAGTTTTTCTGTCAAGTGTCAACATTCTACAATATCTTGGATATTATTTATTTCGAATATGAAATATGAAGCCATATTTCATGTACTATATAATATATTTTTACAATTTTTTGTGGCTGATATTATCTTTCCCAAGTGTTGAGAAAATTTTCATTACCAAATTGTTAACTTCAAAATTGTCTGTGACTTGCTTATCAATTTTATTACCAATATACATTCAATGTCCACAGCTTTAAAGAGCTTTCATTTCATTGTTTACTGCTGTTATTCAGCTAAAAAATATGATATTGAAAAGTTACCCTCTATTTCCCCCCTTGTCTGCAAATTATTATAGTATGAATGTAAGTTTAATTTTCTTACTTTTGCTTCAGGCATAACTGGAGAACCACTGCAAGCATATATATTCATGGGGCCAATTTACTATCAAAAATTAAAACACATGGTGAGATTATTTGAATCTTTTGACAACTATTTACTGTGCATGAAATCTACTTCATACAATGAAAATGTTGCAGTAATTTTTTCTTCTACCCCCCCCCCATCTCCACCCCCGTCCCCAGATTTGTTTGTTAAGTTGATTCGCATGCTTCTATAGCGACTAATATAAATGCTCTGCACAGCTTAGTAGGAAGATAAATAACCTTCTACTATTCTCTCCCCACTTCTATACCTTGATCATCTTTGTTTGGCTCGCAAGACAAGTTGACTTATTCATGGAGTTTCTTTACTTGTCAATTTATAGCCTCCTAGATAGAACTCCTAACTTAGGACCTTTCCCGATCACCAGCTTTTTAGGAGACTGGGTTCTTAAGCAGGTTGCTGGTCTGGTGAAACTCAATACATTTTTGAACTTTCCTATATGAAAGATGTTGCATCCTCATGCATGGAATCTGTGGCTTTCTACTGGAGAGAAAGGGGACCTCTTCTTGTAATGATAAAGTAGATTTTCCGTGGTTCCAGGATTCTAGGGTTTAGAAATACTACCTCTATTTCTATTTGGTTGCACCATTTCTTATTGGCACAATAAATTAGGAGAAAAAGTAGGGGTCTGTGAAGTGTATTTTAAGCAAAGAAGATTAAATGAATTAAGGCAACTGGGAATTGGTCACCATGTGAAAAGTAGGGGCATATAGGTCCTGTAAAAAAACCATGATAAGAAAAGGGTGCAATTTTTTATGATATTTCCGTTTTAAATAAATGGTGCATCTAGAAAGAAACGGAGGAAGTATTTGGGTGTAGTACCTTAGATTTTAAGAGTTGTAAAGTTTTTGGGCATTTGACTTTTATGCTATTATGGGTGCTTTGGTTAGAGGGGAATAGGATTGATTATGATTAGTTGTCTTTTTTGGCATCCTTATTAGCTAGTAGTATTCCCTCCTTATTTTTATTACCTGTTTTGACTTTGAGTACTATTAATACACTGATTTCTTTGATTTAGCCTTTTCTTTTCTCTAGTTTGATGGAATTCTGATCCTTCTTATTGTAGTTTCCTCTATCATCTTCAGTTCTCCTCTCCAACCCCCCCCCCCCCCCCCCACCCACCCCCATCCCCACCGCAGGAATAAAAATAGGGGGAAAAAAATAATCTTTTCGTTTTGTGTTCATGAATTGGATGCACATCTTTCTGTAATCTATTCGGGATCTTTTCTACTATCAAAGATTTTGGTTTTTAATACTGAGTACTATATCCCTGCTCTTGCTTTCATGAACAATTCTAGTTTCTTGTGGCGTGTTATGGTACCGAAGTTTTGCTACTAATTGCTCCATTTTTTGGTGCTAACAGGTGTTGGATAAAATGCATGCGCGAGGCTTTGGTCCTCGTGCTATCTTAACTAGGCAACCAACTGAGGGGAAAGCTAGAAATGGAGGTACTAAAATTACTAATATAACTGTGCTCTTTATAAACTGCTAAAAGTTCTGTTTTCGTTGACACCAAATTGTCTGTTCAGGATTAAGGGTTGGCGAAATGGAGCGTGATTGTTTGATAGCTTATGGTGCTAGCAATCTGATTTATGAACGCTTGATGCTCTCAAGTGATCCCTTTCAAGTTCAGGCAAGTACATATGTTTGTAATTAGAACCTGTTGCTGTCTATTCTCATTCTACATGGATATCACTTATCCTAGTAAATGTGAGATGCTATCTAGTTGTTTTACTGAGTAATAATATTGTGGGACCATCTGTTTCCTCATTCTAGCTTGTTGCAAGGAGAAAGCTCTGCTATCTTCTTGTGTTTTCGTTAATGTTCCGTAACTAAAGGTGTTCAATGTACCGGACAATATTGGAAATTTATCCATGTAAATTTGAGAGATTGGTTTAGAATTTATTCAGTTTAAAAGGGTTTCTGGAAATGGTATATTTAATGCAATGTGAGAGATGCACACACAATTTTCTTCAGTTGATCCAGTAAGAGATGCATCAGCTCTTGAATAAGATGAAATAGAGGAGCTTTTGTCAGGGATAAATGGGAGGATGAGTGGGTTTTGATTTTTCACCTTCAGCATCAATTTAATGGGTTTTTCCTGTCTTCTCCAGTGAAGTTGAGTAAGCATTTGATTCACCTTTGCTTTTGGGGCTATCTCATGTTAGCTATTCACCAAGTTCTCTTCTGGTTATCTCAGTCTACAAAGCTGGAATGTTATTTGTGTTGAGGGACTAAACAGCAAATGCTTTCAGTTGATCAGTGACATAAATATTTAAAAGAATAATAGTCAGAAAACACAATAAGAAGAGTCATTTGTTTTAGAGGTTTAAGTTAGAATGAATACAGAATATTGAATATCCGTGTACGTAGTGTAGAAATCTGCTGAATTTTCTATTGTTAAAAAGTATTTATGTTTTACTTCTTGACATGCCTAAAAAATTCCCTGTTCTGCTCAGGAGAGGGTGGGGGTGAGAGTCAGTTGAATTTTTTTTTTTTTTTTATGTTCTTCATATTGGATGGATGTTCTCCAGGATCAGCTATTACCAGTGTTTAATTAAAACATTTTTTTTCTGTAACTGTATAATTCATATGATCTGTCATTAGATTGCATGCTGGCATGCTGCAGTTTTGCTTAACTCCTATTCATCCTTAATCTGTGCAGGTTTGTAGATCATGCGGATTGTTGGGATATTACAACCATAAACTGAAAGCTGGTATTTGCAGTGCTTGTAAAAATGGGGAAAATATATCCACCATGAAATTGCCCTATGCTTGCAAGCTCCTGTTTCAGGTAAATTCCACTTCCCCATGCAACCCAGTGCCTAAAAAAATTACGAAGTACATAAATGTAACAGTAATGTTTTTATTTTATTTATTTATTTATAAATGGTAAGATAAAAATTCATTAGGAAGCCCTTTTGTTGTTTGATTGTGACTTAACATGTTTCTAGTAAAATATTTTTGACAAGTTACTTCTCTTTTTTGCAGGAACTCCAATCGATGAACATAGTTCCTCGTTTGAAGTTGTCCGATGTTTGATTTGCTACTATCTCTTAAAACACTTGAGCTCTGAGATGCAATATTGTAATGATATCAGTATGGCATTGGCATGATCTCCATCAGCTAATGAGCGGAATATTGTGAATAAAATGAGTGTAGCAACATAAGGAAAAATGGTGCATTTGACCAATTGACATTTGTGGGGGATGTGGTCTAGTGTCCACCAAATACATCAATAGCGGGAACCAGGATTTTCTCTATTGTGACCAAATGTTGCTTTATCATACGAGGGAGAATAGGTTCAGGACACATGCAGCACTGTAACCCCTGCAGCCCTGCATTAAACCAGGGATGACTCTTGGAGGGTGTGTTGCCATATGCCCGTATTAGGAGTTTTGTAGACACTGATCTTAGAAATAGTCGTGTATATATATGATGTGCGCATCACTTACTATTCTCTTTAGCATTATGATCAAGTTCAAAGGTAAATGTAATATTTAATTTTTAAATATTTAATTAAACGACTATTTCACCAAATGCCACTTAGCAATTTAAAAATTCACCAAATGCTATTGGACTTTTCAAACTTCACCAAATGCCACCCAGTTTTTAAAAAATTCACCCAGTGCCATTAATGACCAACGGTCGTTAACTCTGTTAGTATTAAGGGGTTAATCATGACACGTGTCATCACATAATTGGACCATTTATCTTAATTCATAAAAATTTAAAAAAAAAACAAAAATGTTAAAAAAAATACAAAAAATAATTAAAAATAATAAAAAATAATAAAAAAAACCTCAAAATTTTCCCGACCACCGCCAAACCCTAACCCCTCCCCTCATCTCGCCGGAAAACGGCCGATCACCACCGAAACCACCAACAATCGACCGGCCGACCATGTAGCTCCCCACCTGACCCACCGTCGACCCCCAATACCTCCCTCACAAACTGCCCCGACCCCATTAAACCGCAAACACGAGCATCACCCACCCCAAAAACCACCCACACAACCGCCCCGACCCTAATAACCGCTAGTATAAAGCCCCTCCTCCCTTCTCCCACCGTCGAAACGACCGATTTTGAGGGTGGGGAAAGGGAGGAGGGGCTTTTTACGGGTGGTTTTTGGGGTCGGGGCGGATATGTAGGTGGTTTTTGGGGTCGGGACGAGCAGCGTGGGTGGTTTTGGGGGTCGGCGGTGGGTCAGGTGGGGAGCTACATGGTCGCCCGATCGATTGTTGGTGGTTTCGGTGGTGACCGGCCGTTTTCCGGCGAGATGAGGGGAGGGGTTAGTGTTAGGCGGTGGTTGGGGTGGCTGGGAAAATTTTGGGGATTTTTTTTATTTTTATTTTTTTTAATTTTTATGAATTAAGATAAATGGTCCAATTATGTCATGACACGTGTCATGATTAACCCCTAATTACTAACGGAGTTAACGGCCGTTGGTCATTAATGGCACTGGGTGAATTTTTTAAAAACTGGGTGGCATTTGGTGAATTCTGAAAAGCCTAATGGCATTTGGTGAATTTTTAAATTGCTCAGTGGCATTTGGTGAAATTTTCGTTAATTAAATAATAGTATATATTATTAAAAAAAATTGACTACCTCATTTTTCTGAAGTCTTACCCACTTTTTGTTTTCATCCTTTTTTTTTTTTTTTTTTTTACTCATTGTTATAACAACTTTTATTCATATTTTTTTTATCATCTATAACCATAATCTCGTACTCACTATCTCTCCTCTTTTTAATACGAAGAACAAAATACCTACATGCATGATCCCCATTTTTATTTGGATAAATACTATTTAATAAATCCAACTATTGGCAATCTACTTCTAATAATCACAACTAAATTTTATTATCTAATAATCTCAACTGTGTGGTTAATTTGCCTCTAGTGATCCCAACCAGTCAATACCAAGTCAACGACTTGTTGTAACACATAACTCATACACGTGTCAGCATGTGATTGGTTTAAAATTAAAAAAGGATAATTTAACACGAATAATTCAACCTTTCGTCGGTTCTCCCAAAATAATCCAACCATTCAATTAACCCTAAATAATCCTACCTTTACACTTATTCTCCCATACCACCCCCTGCAGGTCACCATACGGCCATACCCCTTATGACCGGTTGCCAAGCCACGTGGCACTCTCTTATTGGTTAAAATTTTATTATTTTAAATTAGTCTTTTAATTTTAATACTTTATATAAAAAATAAAAATAAAATTATTTCTTCTTCTCCCTCATCCCTTCCTGCTCCAATCTGGGCAATCTCTCTCCTCCCCTTTCATGGCCACCATTAAGCCCAGCCACCACTGCCACTTTTATGAACGCCATTAACACCATCTTGCCATCTACTACACCCTACTTCCTCCACCTAGACAGAAAAAACACCACCCCACAACCATCGTGGTGCTGGCGGCGATGGTAATCAGCCATTCTAGCAGCAGCTCCGGCGGCAGTTACCTCTACTCACCCACCGTTGAAATCTATCCACATCAACCAGAAAACCCTTAACCTTCAATAAAAAAATCGGATTGTGAGGGTGGAGTTTGGGGTTCGCGGTGGTGGGTTCGTCAAGAGAGAGCAAAGGATAAGGTGGTGGCGGTGTTAATGGATGGCTTGGGGTTCGTAGTGGTGGTGGTTCGTAGTGGGGTGGTGAGTGGGTAATAGTTCAATTCGTGGTGGGGTGGTGTAAGGGTTTAGGTGACGGTGGCCTGGATTGAGGTCGTGAGGGTGGAGCTTAGTGGTGGTGGATGTGGATCATGGTGAGGTGAAGTGGTAATGGTGAGTTGAACTCTTAAAAGGAGGATGAAACAGGAAGGGGAGGAAGGAGAAAGAAGGGGTTTCGTTTTTAAAAAAAAAAAAAAAAAATTGTATAATTTTCTGTTAATTAAATAAAAATAATTAAAAAAAATAAAAATAAAAAAATAAAAAAATACCGGTTGTATAGGTTAGAGGTAAAATAGGATTGGTAAGGGAGAATAAGTAGTAAAGGTGGGATTATTCAAAATTAATTAAAAGGTTGAATTATTTTTGGAGAACCGATGAAAGGTTGGATTATTCTTGTTAAATTTTCCTTAAAAAAAGGAAAAACGAAAAACTTAACAACCACCAAGCCCACCATCCCTCCCCTTCCGCCACTGCGAAAACCAAGGGCTAACCCCTAGCCCATCACAAAGTAATCGGTTATCTCCCCTAACCCCCGTAAACGGCCGGTCTACCTCTCCTAACACTAGGCGAAAAAAGCATTTGGCCACTGGTTCAAAACCCCCTTATGCCACCGGTTTTGAACCGGTGGGCATTTGGGGGGTGGCAACACTCGTATTAAAAGCCACCGGTTCAAAACCGGTGGCAAAAACAAGGTTTTTTTTAAGGGGCTATTGGCACCGGTTCCTGTTCAAAACCGGTGCCAATAATGGGCAAAAAAAATAAATTTTTTTTTTTTTTTTTTTTTGCATTTTTTCCACTTAAATTGGTAAATAAACACTAACATATATATAAACTTACATTTTTTCATAAATAAATGTTGTAATATTACAATTTTTGTCTAAAAAATTAAAATAAAATACAAGGTTACAAACATATGCGAGACTTGTCATAAGGAGCAGCACAGAAGCAGAATACCAGCATAACAGCAGCACATAAGGAGCAGCACAGAAGCAGAACACCAGATAAGGAGCAGCACAGAAGCAGAACACCAGCAGCAAAGTCGGCATATAGTGCGAGGCAGCTGCACCCCTGCGAGGCAGCAGCAGCAGCTGCTCTGCGAGGCAACAGCTGCACCAACAGCCTTGCGAGGCTATGCCCCTTGTAATTATACCAGATTAAGTATGGAGAATAAATGTACCACTTTCTGAAGTTGGTGAAGGTTTTGGTTCAGGATTCCCTACTAGCTCGAATGCATAAGATAGAAATGTCAGAAAAGAAAAGGGAAATAGAAAGTCCTCACAACTGTGAAAGATGAGCACTACTAAATTGTAATTATCCATTTTATTATCTTCAAATCATCTAATTATATTTATCATGCTAAATAATGAGCACTACTAAAGATGTTGATTAAATTTCAAAATTAATGAAATTAATAACATTATGCTCACATAAGAAGTTTTCTGTCAACAACCAAACTAGTAGTGAACATCAAGAGACTATTACAAAATAGTAGGCCAAATTTGCAAATTTTGACAGGTAGATATGTAATGGACTATAATGTGAAATCACCTTTTTAGACCAGTCTTACAGATAACACAACCTCAATATCACCAGATATTATGGGAGAATTAATGCTATTTCAACTCAAAGAACTACAGCTTCCCGCATTATAGCTGATGCAACTACTACACATAAGCAACGAATGAATAACAATGCTAGATACAATCAACATAAAACACTACCACTCCTAACCTATTTACTTCATCATCTTGTAAGTGAGCAAAAGCATATACAATAAATACAATAAATTACATTTCTTTATCCTCCCCATTAAAGAGAGCGCAATATCAACCTAGATTCTAATGCCCAAAACAAAATATTTAATTATGAAAATTAAAAATAATAAAAAGGAATTTGCCTTGCAAAGAATCATGTCAAGAAGATCAGCACCAGCTTTTGCATCACAAACATCGTTTTGTTGGCTGTAATCAAAATCAAACCAACCAAAATTCAGCAAAAGAATCCAAAAAAAAAAAAAAACAAAACAAAATTCAGCAAAAAAAAAAAAACAAAATGCAGCCTTGCGAGGCAGCAGCTGCACCGCCCCTCGTGCTAGTAAAACAAAAACACAACTTGTCCCATCATCTAGGCATATAAGATCACGGAGGACGAGAAGTCAGCAGTACAGTAATATAAGTAATATAAGATCACGGAGAATATATGATGACCTCCAAAATTAACTCAACAAAAAATACAAAAAAACACATTTACAAGTAATATACCATGTGCCAAGGAGTTGCTTTAATCTGGGGAAATCTAAAATATATCATGACACAGGCTACACAATCATACGAGCTTCCAATAATCTTATACCTTGATAAAATAATCTGAATTATAGATACTTATATCAGGCATGAACTAACTACAAAAACCAAATGATGAACTGAAATCCAAGCTTCTGCATTCTGGCAATAAACCTCAAAATCTTATGGTTCATTTCATATCAAGATCCCTATCGGAAAAGACACACCTTTTAAAAGTTTTTATGCACACAAGAGCATTACAAAATCTCTCTTTAACTTCCTTCTAAACCAAGATCCAAACAAAAAATACTACAACCCTTTCCAGATAGAAGGAAAATACAAACATTCCCTGTCAAAATATTGCATTTAAATTTAAATAAGAAAGACAACACAACAAATCATCACATTACTATACCATCACAAATAATTATAGTATGTAGCACAAATTGAAACTAACAAATGCAAAGTGCAGGGGCCAGGGAGCACAAACTTATAAGACACAAGAAGCATACACAGTTTGATGTTGTTCCGAATGCACTGAAGTAATGTAGAGATGAACTTATTGATACTTGGACTCTTCATTATCTTCCCTTCAATTTCCAATCTCAGCCCCTCAATATAGGTGTAGTGCCAAATTCGCAAATATCCAAATTGATAATTGACACCTGTGTGATTGACATGAGTAGTCAGTCAAGTATTAGTTTATCAAGTATCATGTTAACCTTGCAAGAGACAATATTTGCACTCAGACTCAACACATTATGGTCTTACGAAGAAATCAGAATATTGATAAAATAGTAAGTTCAAAGGAATCAAAATATATACCCATACCATCAAGTCCATAATGAAAAAATCAGTCAAAATATACCCACAAAATCAAATTAAATGACAACCAATATAATATTCACAATACATCCACAAACCAAACTACTGAAATTTTATAAATTGAAGTATCAAATACTAAAAAATACTCACAATTCAAATACTCCGTATACCCATAATTCATTTTGTATGTCACAGTTCCAAAAGCTCAAATTAACAAAATCCCAGATCAATCGAAATTATTGAAACAAATTAACAAAACCCTAGATCAATCGCAATAAAACTGAGTTGTGTAATCTGATTTCAAACTCCGAAACTTACTATCAAGTCTGCTAAGGCTACTAAAACCCAATTAAACCCATAATCTAAACTAAGTGAAAACACTTGAATATCAAAATTACAAGAAAAATCAAAAAGGGGGTTCTGGGAATCAGATCGAAAATTACAATAATCATCGAAGTACAGGGACAAAATCAAACTCGAAATCAACCATCACATACAAATTCAAACTCAAAAACAATAACCAAATCACAAAATCCAAAATCAAAACCCAAAAACTCAACGAATTCGAAACCCTAACCCAAATTATACAAAATTAACAAAAAAAAGAGGAATGAACCTTGTGAGGAGCAGCGTCACCATTAGAGATCTAGGGATCGTTCTCCAAGTTTTTTAAGGACTTGCTTTGACATCTTCATTAGTGACGAATGCGGTGGTGGTGGTGGAAAGCTAGGATGCAGAGAGAGGAGGGTTGCTCTGGTGGTGGCTGTGGTGGGAAGCTAGGATGGAGAAAGAGGAGAGAGGGGATGGTTGCGCTTGTGGTGGCTGCGGTGGCGCGAGAAGAGAGAGGAGACAAAGAGTTTGAGAGGAGAGAGGAAACAGGAGAGTGAGGAGAGAGAACGAGATAGTTCGTGAATAACAAGGAAAGAGTGAGTGTTCTAATTTAGGGATTTTTATTTATTTGGGAAAAGGCCACCGGTTAACCGGTGGGCATTTCTCTTTATTAAACTTGTTTTTTTTTTTTTGTCTTTGTCTTACATTTTTACCACCGGTTTTCAATAATCGGTGAGCATTTGGCGGTGCCCATTTATCTTTTTCTACTAGTGTAATTAACCCTCGAAATCACCCTAGTCGGCCCACTTCCACCCGCCAAACCACCCACCTAGCTTCCCTCGAAAACAACCTCCCAATAGTCGAAATTGACCCTCCTCTGATCCCTTCCCAACCCCCAAATTCGGTCCCATGAGGGGTTTCGAGGGTGTGGGAAGGGAATGGGAGCGCCGAAGTAACACAATACGATCAAATTCTAATATCTTTGTAGTGTCTCAATAAGCTCGACAATTGTCATAATTCTGCAAATTCCTACAAAATAATACCAACTCTACAAAAATACTAGAAAACGTATATTAGTTATAAAAAATAGTTCCGCGGAGCTCAAAGAAGCATAAATATGATTGTGGGACGGGGAATAAAAATATAGTATCTCCGGTTCTTATTACTCGCAACAAAAGGGTATTATTTGTGAGATATAAAATATTCCTTTGTTCCGAGTAATTTGAATCGGAGGTAGTATATAAAGTAGACTCATCAAGTGGGTGAACGCGTGGATGGACTTTACTATTTCCGTGGTGTTCCTGAGGTTAAGGCATTGACTGTGAATGGACATGGGTTGTTCCTTGGAGTTATGGCATCAAAGATTGGGACATCCTTCGAAAAAAGTACTACGTTCTCTTCCCATTGTGAGTAGTTCTAGTAGAGGCATAAAAAATAAACCTTGTGATGTATGCTCACGGGCAAAACAACATAGGATTAGATTAGCAAAAATAAAGCTAGTCGTAGTTTTGAGCTAGTTCACTATTTTGACTATTATACCTTCGTCTTGTGGTGCTCGCTATTTTTTTTACTATTATAGATGATTTTTCACGTGGTGTGTGGACCTATTTGATAAGTAATATAACTGAAGTTGAGTTTATATTTCTTAGTTTTGTTGCTATAGTCAAACATCAATTTAATCAAGTCCTAAAAATAGTTCGTAGTGACAACTGTACAGAGTTCAATTCCTTGAAAGATTATTTTTTTTTCTAATGAGATAGTTTTTGAGACAGCATATGTTGGGACACCCAAATAGAATGGGCGGGTTGAGAGGAAACACCCACATAATTTGAATGTGGCTAGGGCATTGCGCTTCCAAGCAAATTTGCCTATGAAATTTTGGGGGGAATGTGTTTAAGGTGCTTGTCATATAATTAATAGAACACCCTCAAGATTGCTTGACTTTTTTTTGGGTGTTTAGAGAGCCACAAGGACGGAGGTGAGAATCGATCCTAGGATCTCCTGAAACCGGGAAGGAAGCTCTAACCACTTGAGCTATCCTTCACTCTCAAGATTGCTTGACTGTAAAACACCTTTCAAAGTTTTATTTAATAAATTACCCTCATATGAATACATTTGGGTTTTTAGTTGCTTGTTCTATGCCCATAATCAACGGAGTAAAGGTGAAAAATTTGCTAGTAAGAGTAGAAAATGTATCTTTTTAGACTATCCCTTCAGGAAGAAAGGATGGAGAGTCTATGATTTGGAGACAATGCAAATGTTTATTTCATGGGATGTGCAGTTTTTTTAGAGTGATTTTCCTTATCTCCAACCCGATATTAAAAGCTCACCTAATCCCCGGGTTGTGCCTGTGATGGAAGAGTATTTTAGTGATAATGAATGGGGGGATAGAGGTGCATGCTCAGAGTGAGACAAGGGAAGAGAATGCTGGCAGCGAGCAATCCACCCCAACCCAGCTCACGCACATTATGAAGGGGGTGCTCTCCTCCTGCCCGCGTCTGATCAACCTAATGGATTTCCTTTGGGCGCTGGTGCAGGGGGCGAGACCGAACAACAACAACAATTGCATACCGAGGCCGAACAACCACGAGAGGGAAGTACGAGTACTGGCACAATGGGGCATGATAATGATGACATGGGTAAAAGAAAGCAGACAAAGTTCCCTTCAATTAAGTTTTGTGATTTTGTGACTCACACCATACGGAAGAAAAGACCATCCATATCTCAGAGTTCACTCGCGCCAACTTCTCAGGTACTGTCTATCCTATAACACATTTTGTTGATTCTCACTGATTTTATGTGACATACAGAAAATACATTGTAACAATTTCAGGTGGAAATTTTTTTAAAAGAAGTTATGAACCATGAAGGATGGAGAAAGGTGATGGCCAATGAAATTTGGACACTTGAAGAGTAGAACATGTGGGTGCTCGAAGATTTACCTCCTGGTAAAAGGGCACTTGGGAGCAAATGGGTGTACCAAGAGATATATAATGAGCATGGAAATTTGCAGAGATTGATCGCTAGACTAGTCATCTTTTTCCATCATCAGGTTGAATGACTAGACTATAATGAACATTTGCTCTGGTGGCGAAGTTGGTGACAGTTTGAACTTTTCTTGCAGTTACAGCAGTAAAGAAGCTAAGTGGGATGTTCATCAAATGGACGTTCATAATGCCTTTTTACATGGTGACTTGGAGGAAGAGTATACATGAAAATCCCCCTGGTTTTGACAAAAATAATTCTAGAAAAGTGTGCAAGATGAAGAAGTCATTGTATGGCTTGAAGCATGGTCCTCGTTGTTGGTTTGCAAAATTGGCAACAGCTTTGAAAAATTATGGCTTTAAGCAGTCATATTATGATTATTCCCTCCTTACTCTGACGAGAGGGAAAATGCAACTTAATGTGTTAGTTTATGTTGATGATTTAATTGTTGCAGGAATGATAAGTTTGCTATATTGAATTTCAAAGCATATTTAGGGAACTGTTTCAAGATGAAAGAATTGGGAGTATTAAAATATTTTTTGGGACTAGAGGTAGCCCGAAACAAGCAGGGAATTTTCATGTGTCAGAAAAAGTATGTCTTGGATATTATTGCATAAGCAAGTTTGCTTGATGCAAAACCCATAGATTTTCCCATGGAGAAAATACACATGCTTGCTCTGGCAAATGGTGATTTTTTACATGATGTGGAAAGGTATAGAAGTCTTATAGGACGTTTAATTTATTTGTCGGTCACTAGGCCGAACTTGGTCTATTCAATGCATATTTTATCCTAATTTATGCAGATCCGAGAGTTGAGCATTGGGAGGCTACATCGCGTGTTGTGAGATATTTGAAAAAGAATGCGGGACAAAGTATTTTGTTGAGGTCTGATAGTGCTTTGTTGTTGAAAGGTTAGTGTGATTCAAATTGGGCGAGTTGTACATTGTCTCGACGACCATTGACTGGTTGGTTTGTTTTACTTGGTCTATCTTCTGTGTCATAAAAAAACCAAAAAGCAATCCACGATGGCTAAGAGCTCAACAGAAGCAGAATATCGTTCGATGTCAACAGTGACTTGTGAGTTAAAGTGGCTGAAACAGATTCTTAGGGACTTGGGCGTGCGACTTGAAAATGGGATGTATCTTTATTGTGACAGCCAGTTTGCTTTGTACATTGCTCAAAATCTTGTGTTTCATGAACAAACTAAACATATTGAAGCAGATTGTCACTTCGTATGAGACGCATTTATGGACGACACTATAAAACCTTCGTATGAGTCTACGATGGTTCAACTGACTGACATCTTCACTAAGGCTTTAAGGAAATCCAAGTTTGAGTACCTCATTCGCAAGTTGGGAATTTGTGACCCATATGCTCCAACAACTTGGGGGGTATTGGAGATAATTATGTGATATGATAATATTGTGAAAAGATATGCTTAGATATTATTGTGATATTCAGGCAGTTATGATCTTTAGAGAATATAAGGACTTTTCCCCTTAAAACTTATACTTCCTCCGTTCTTTTATTATTGCACCATAGAGGTTGTCACACTGTTTTTTGGTAGTGGGAAAATGGAAGAGAGAGAGAGGTAAAATTACAAAGTTATCCATGAAATGTAAGCATAAACTAAAAAATCAAGTGGCAAAAGTAAGGGTATATTGGGTGTTTATAGTGCGAACATAGATATTTTGTTTCCCAAAATAGAAATGGTGCAATATTTGTGAAACTTCCTTAAAAGGCAAGTGGTGCAATAAATAAAAAACGGAGGAAGTATTTAATTTACTACGTATTTTTGTTGTTTGTGGAAAAAACTACTCCCTCCGTGTTTTTTTAAGTGATACTGTAGACACCCATTTGTGTCTCCTCAAAACCAAACCCAGTGATGAGTACCTTTCACGTCGAATCATAATCGAATGAAGTGAAAGTGTGGAAAGTCTAGTGTTGCGGATGGTTTTTTAATTTCTTTTCTCTTCTCTCTGTTTTTGAAAACTTATTTTAAGAAAACAACCAATCCAGTTTGGTTGGTCCATGATATGGGTCCAATAATAGTGTATTTGGATGGGGTTTGGCAAGAGCTTTCCAGCGATATATTATAAGCCCAATTCCGATGAATATTGAGGAAGTTATGGCCAATTTACCAAACTGGGCCCGGTTTGAGCTTTATGTGCGGCCCAATGATCTAGGGGAGGGCCTAATATGATTTGTCATTCCTAATGCAATTAGGAATGTTTTTAGTCTTCTAGAAGGTTCTTTTCATTCCTAATTCAATTAACATTGATAAATTGACTTTTTGACTTTTCAGAGTTTTAATCAAAATCAAATAGCATTTTCGAGGAAATTATATGATTTTATCCTCCAGTACGGCAAACTTATCTGATTTTCGAAAACGCGTTAAAACCAGGCTTGGCGTCTGACACCAGGCATTGGCGCCTGGAACCAGGCCTGGCGCTAGTGTTGGTGCCTGGCGCCAATTAGCCAGGGCTTGCGCCAGATCTGTTTTTTTGTGCGTCAGACTCTGTTTTGTTTATTTTATCTTTTTGGCTGATTTTCTCTATAATTAACATATTAAAAACTCCGTTTTCATTCACCTACAATCAGTTTTCATTCGCAATCATTAATTCTCTAATCCTCTTAATCATTCACCAACTCTCATCAAGATTTTCTTGATTATTCTCTTTCTCTCTTTCTCTTAATTCTTACTTTGTTTTCATATACAAAATTCCGCATTCGCAAGACTTAGATACACCTAGCCATATTCGAAGTTGCCTTCGCTCTAGA